TATATGTATATATATATATATATATATATATATATATATAGTTGAGTTAGTTACAGCATTTACAAAACAAGAACGGCTGGACCAATTTTAAATATTTTTGATTTGTTGAATTCATCTCCACCCCGAATAGCAGATAAACTATTGAAATACCGGGGCATCTGTTCTATCCCGAGGCCTGCAACAAAGATGTCATCATTTATCATCAACCGAAAAAATAATAATTATAGATCTTTAGCTTGAACATAAAGCCTGTTTTTCGCTTCATGAGCTACGTCATATGAATTCTTTGCTCTCGAGACGCCGCGTCGTTTGGTGAGAGGCCGACGTTTATCCTGACATGTCGCACGCTTCCTCAGGGCAGCCGGATAGCAATGCATTAATGTAATCGAGCCGCGGAAGCTTTCGTGTCCACATCATCTGCAAGAAAAAATACACTCATGGTTTCCAATTTTCATAAGATGCATATAAGATTATAATTATTCTTTCATTATTATGATACAAGTGCCCAAGCATTATGTCCATATCTGGAATAAATAATTGATTTGATTTATGAGTGGATATAAAGAATGATGGAGTAATGATGCAATAAGAAATAGAGGAAACAGGAAAAACCTCATAAAGCCGTGAATCCACGTTTTGCACTAAAAAAACCTATGGATCACCCAAGAATTGAACCCCCAGTTCTAGCGATGGAAGGTGAATATTCCGAATATTCCGATCATACACCAAGTATTACCCCATAAAATGATAATAGTAAATGAACGTTGCATTTAATTAGAGATCATTAATTTAAAATATACTGGAAGCTGAGTTTGTAGTTAAATTCTTTGTCTCTTACACAACTAAATCATATGCGGGCGGAATTTTAAGTTCGACTATGCGAGATTTAATGACATGATATTTTACGTTGCGCTCGTTACCCCGATATTCCAATGCATTGCGTATCCACAGTTAATTTTCCAGCTGTTTCTCATACGAGTTGAGCATGGCCGCTCTGCCCTTCCTTTCGCGCTGCCAATGCGAGCGATGCAGCTCAGCAGCCCCTGTTGCAACCACGCAGGGCGCCGGTCGTCCTGTGCGGGGGCGAAGGGGAGGCAGTGCGTCGAGGTGACCGCTAGGGGCGCTGTGAGCGCTGGGCGTGGCTCGGAGACTGGCCGCTTGCCCCCGGCGGTGGCGATGTTGGAAAAGGATGGGGAGAAAGACATCGCGATCCTCAGGAAAACTTTGGGGAAGTAAAAAACAAATATAGTTAACTACACGTTGCAACGAAGTGCTTTATGCTTGACGTTTTAGAGTTCAGTTCAATGTACTTCATTTTATATGGCGTGGCACAAGCCATCAGATTTGCTCTTCCGCCTGACCTCACAAATTTCGCTAAGCTTCGTTTGCCATCTAGAGTAGATTGAGAAGTCAATCAAGCGATGAAACAATTCATTTTCTCTTAGACTTGATCTTTTTATTGCGCTCTTTACACAGTAATCTACAGCATGGGAAAGCCGGCTTTTCTTCCGATCCGACAGAACATTCTACCAAGAATGTTTTTCGCTCTTAAACATCCATGGTTTCGATCGTGTTTGATCCCGCCAACTAGATATGACAGTCCAATCTCCTAGCCATTAAACCACTGAAAACACCATAAAAAGTTCCATAATGACGCCAAAACTGGTTTCCTTGTGAGACGTAATAAGAAGCAGTTTTATCTGTTACATCTTCCCTGTTTTTATCAGTTACATCACCAATTCGGAATAAGTAATTGAAGGGGACAAATCCTTGAATCAGATGAGCGGTTGTACCACGTAATTATGCCTCCCAACATAAAAATATCACATCATTAAATATCGAAATATATTATTTTAGAAATGATGGCGAGAGGGACATAACGCTATCCTCTACAACAGGAGGAATTAAGGCGCTGGAATACATAATTTTGAGTTATTCCTTTTACACGCATATGGGGAGTTACAAGGAATTGTTATTGCTCATTGGCACAAATTCTCTATATCTATTAATATAAATTCCAATTGGTATCTTTCCCGTGAAATGTTCTTTTTCGATATTAAGACATTAACTTTTTCGACTATTAAGATTAGTATGGGGCTGCAAAACATAACTATTCTACAGGGATAACTTTCAGGTTGATGAAAATTTTCAGGTTCATCACGTGAGACATGGTACTTGTGCATCTCTTAACCGTGACATATCTACCGCTAGTGTTCACCCCCACACACATTCACCATTACACAAACCTTCTCACACATATACACCTTCACAAACTTAACACTTACGTTCACTCCCAAACACACACATTTTTTTTCACCCACACATACTTGTACCATCATTTGCACGCACATCCTCACGCGACCCCTCTCTCACTTTCTTACAGATCCTGACACTCGACAAAAACGCACCCTTTTACTCATTCACAAGAGCATACCCGCTCACGTACACATGTTCATACGCTCACACACACGCTCACCCACAAACACGCACAATAGCATGCGTTCTCAAAGGCATAGACACATTTTCTCATACACTCACCTTTACTCGCACGCTGAAGCATGAGCCCACTACACTCACAAACACCTACACATGCAAATTAGCGCGGCGCAATATCATACATTTTAAAGCATTGACAAGTTTTCGTATACACAGACCTTTACACACAAACATACACACGCACGTTAGCGTGGCACAATGACATAGACACATTTTTTCATACAGACTTTCACTCGCACGTCCAGTAGCACCAGCAAGTGAACACACACACACACATACACACACACACACACTTGCTTATTAGCACGGCACAATATCATACATTCGCAAAGGCAAAGACGAGTTTTCCCATGCACAGACATTTATTCGCACGCAACAACACACACGCCCACGCGCAAGTACCCGCACACAACTGTCACACCCACACATTTATTTATTTACGTCAAAACAGTTAAAAACTGTGGGTGACGTGCTATATTGAGAAATTTATTTGAAGTTACATTTATGTCCAGAAGCAAAACTTGGGGCCATCTCAGCATTTGCTCGAGGATCAGGGAAACTAGACAAAAACCTGATCGAGATGGGGGTCATTGACCCAGGAGCTGAAGTACATTACTTGTTACAGGTTCTTTAGAATTCTACAATTCTAATCATATATAATATATTAAATCTCATTGTTAAAATTTATATTACTTTCCTTGGGATGCTCGGCATAATCTCTAATTGTATAGAAATAGTTATGCCGCAGAAAAGATTTTACTTGAGACTTAAACTTTTCTATCGAATTTAATTGTTTAATGCCATCTGGAAAGGTATTGTAAAATAATGTACGTGTATTACATGTGAATATTGTGTACACACACACACACATACACACACATACACACACACACATACACACACATACACACACATACACACACACACACACATACACACACACACACACACACACACACATACATTCACACACACACATTCACACACATACACACATTCACACACATACACACATTCACACACATACACACATTCACACACATACATTCACACACATACGCACATTCACACTCCTGCTGTACGAAGGCAGCGCAGGTTGAGCGTATGCAAAGGCGCCGTTCGTGCACGTACGCGAAGCGAGTTCGCGAACAAATACAAAAGAGAAAAAAAAGAACGACGAGGCGGCGCGCCGCGCAGGCATGATAACAATAAAAAATAGAAGGTCGCGCGCAGAAAAACAGACGACAAACGCCGCCCGAATTCCACCGCTCCGCGAGGACACGCCCTTCGTTTTTCAAATGTTTTCGCGACGGGTTCGTTCTTCTTCCCGCCGACAGGGGTGAAGGAGGTGGAGATGGAGATGGGAGGTGAAGAACCGAAGTGGTTGCTCCGGTAGAGAGGGATGCAAAAGACGGTAGGACGTGATGTTGAAGGAACAAAGGGGTGAAGATATTTTTTTTATTCAGAACAAAGTAAATTTGCTGTCTATTTTATATTAAATTAATTAGTAAATATGATGTAATGGACTGTTGATAATGATAAATTATTGTGAGGCAAATTATTGTAATGATTAATAAGTTAATTAATTAATAAGTTATTGTGAAGGATGGGGACGGAGATGGGGGTAAAGAACCGAAATGGTAGCTCTAGTGGAGATTGATGCAACATGCGAAGAGGTGATGTTGGAGGAACGAAGGGGTGAAAATATTTCTCTTTATTCTGAACAAAGTAAATTTACGGCCTATTTTATATTAAAATAATTGGTAAATATGATGAAATTGACAGTTTATAATGACAAATTATTGAGGATGAAGGTATTCCAGTAGTACATTTCTCAGTCTTCTGGCGTCTCGAACAAAAAGAGTCAACTTAATGGTTTGGGTTAGGAGTCAGCTTGGAGTTTTTCTCGAACCAGGCCAGGGACGAGGAAGGAAAGATCACGTGCTGTCCATGAACTCCACAGAAGACAGGAAAGGGAGGGGTTGAATGGATGAGAAATTTGAGGTAGAAGAATGCAGACTGACATTGCATAGAAAAGGGTCATTGGTTCTTGGACGGAGAGCGAGTTAGTACGAATGTTGAGGTAGACTGGATAAGGGTGGTAGGCCACAGATGGAAGAAGCTCCCACATAAAGGTGGAACAGATGCAAGAAGCTAGGCAGGTAAAATGTCAGACAGAACTTGTTGGATGTTGGGTGATGTCTTGACAGGCTGGCGAGCGCTGGCAAAGAGGATGGTGTAGCAGTGGAAATTGCGAGAAATAAAAGCGATACTGCGAGTTTCTAGAGGAGAAGAGAGCAGGAAACAGACGTAAAAAGACCGTAGGAAGCGGCGGGGCGTGACCGAATGGAGGGGAAGTCAGGTGGAACCAATCAGACGCTACGTCAGGTGGGAGGATACGTACGATAATATGAGGAAAGACAGAATGGCTAATATGCATGCTGGGGTGCACAGGTACGTAAAATGGCACAGGCGAGTGGCTGGTTCTGTCGCTGACTGGAGGAGAATTCACGCTGCCCTGATAGATAGTTTTTCGTGGTTTCTCCGACCAGGCGGTTTCCGGAGCAGTACCCTAACAACCGGGCGCACGATCTTTCCTTTCCATTCCTTGTTCTATCTTACCCATTACATTACACTACTACACATGCCGGGATACCGGCCGCGAGCTTGTCCCGATGGTGGGGATTAGGGGCGATGCCCGTTGGTGGGAGATACCGGATTGGGGAAAAATCCGTTAATCGACAGTGTATCTGCACCGGATCTCACCATCCAGCGGGATATGATCACCGCCACTTCCCAAACAAAAGCATGCACCTACGAGACTAATGACCTTCGTAAATGACGTGCTTGCAATCACTAATCGATTAAAAAAGCGAGTGGCTGTGGCGACTGGGCATAAAACCAGGAAGATATATCAGAAGTGTGCCAAAAATGACGACTTGCTATTTCTGTTCGAAAAAGAAGACAAGCAGTGTGGAAGGCAGGCGTGAGCAGACTGAAGACGAATAGTTGGTTGGAGTCAACCAATCAAAGTTGGGCTAGCAGGGAGCGGCAGAGCACAGCGAAGGCTACGAAACGACCGGACAGACCAGCAAACACAACTGTGGAGGGTACGTAGCTGAGGAATATAAAGGGCATGCCGGGCGGCGCCGAGAGACATGCTGACGAAATTTGGAGGCCGAAGCGAGCGCTGGGAGACTGAGAGAGCCCTTTACCAGAAAGATTGATGTTTTTTTTGTTTCCGGGCACGTCTACTCCTACGGTCATTAATCCCGGTAGTGTAGTGAATATTATATCGCGGGAAGTGGCGGTGTTCCTCTCCACCGAGTGGTGAGATCCTGCGCCGACCTACACGTCTGTTCGTGGGGGATTCCCCCAGCGAGACACCGCACAGACGATATACGTTCTAAGCTCCTGACTGATCTCTAGACGTGTGAGGTATTGTGGTGCATGTAAGTGTGTGTGTGTGTGTGTGTGTGTAAGCAGGGGATGGCATTGAGACGAGGAAGAAGATGGAAATATCGCGCACGGCGCGTTGCGCGTATGCTAAGGTTGATAAATCTGATGTTGATCAGAGAAACTACGGAAAACTAGCGATCGGTATAGCCGTCCAATAGAATCTCCTCCAGACAACAGCTAAATAGTCGATCGAGATATGTAAATAGTATCGAAAAGCCGCCACCGTTGCGACTCGAACCCTAGAGCCTCAGAGACGCTCCAGACACAGCGGTAATGCTGGCTCTGAGCTAAACTCAACAATTGTTTTGTACTCATTCGGGTCTCTTCCAACTCATACGTATACGTTTAATAGCAATTGCTATTAAGATATGTAAAACTACTTTACGTGTGCCGATAAGTCGCAGGTAGGCGACGGGCACAGCCTGGAAAGCCTTCTGCAGGTGGATGGTCTTCGAGCGGGCACGCTGAATGAAGAGGCCAGCGGCTAAAGTCATTGGTTCCATACGTGTATTGCATGAGGGTTTCGCGGAAGGAGGCGGTTATCTGCTTCCGTTGGTTGGCGAGATCCGGCGCCGACCTAAATGTCTTGCGAGATTCTCTTGAACCAAGTATGTCCTATCAGCTGGTCACCGTCCCAGCCGGGACAAGCTCTAAGCTACCCACATGTGTGGTAGTGTAATGCGTGTAAATGTATGTGAACGAAGGGGTGAATATGGAAGAAGAAAGAAAATATCGCGTGCGGTTCGTAGACTGTTTGTTAGGGTACTGTACCGGCATTCGCCTGGTATTGATCGTTGCACTCACGGAATGTTACCGATCAGAGCAGGCGCTGGAAGTTTTCCCTGATATCAGCTCAACTCGAAATAGCTACGTAATTAGAATGGAACCACAAATTCCTGCCACCCTAGACGCGAGTGGAACCCAAGGACCTCCCGATCATTGGTAAGTAACAACAGTTGATGCCCTGAGCCACCTAATCCTGTGCACGGCCTGCAAATCCCGTGCAGGTGGAGAGTCCTCGCGCGGGCAAGCTGGAAGAGGAAACAAGCGCTGCGAGTCTGAGCGGTGGGCGGACGCAGGGCGACCCGACGGCGAGGTGGGGCGGGGCGGGGCGAGGCGGACGAGCGAACTGTCGAGGCCCGTCGGCGGGCGCCCGTGTGTTTGTGCGCGCGGCCGCTTTTCTTTTTTTTTCTTCTATTCTTTTTTTTCCTCTCCTCCTCCTCCCTCTGTTTGCTCCTCCCCTCACCGAAGCGGCAAGGCGCTCCGCCGTCGTCGTCGACGGGGGCGGGGCCGGAGGGGGCGGTGTCCCCTCGGGGGCGAAAAACGACCGCCCCGACATGTGATGGATTCGCCTCGGCGGCGGCGGCGGCGGTGGAGGCTGCAGAGGGGACCTTGGGCCCCGGGCGCGGGGGCGGGAGGGAAGGCAGGACCACGAATCAATAAGTTGGCTGACGGCGACTCGCTCGGTACAGTCCGCGGCAGCCCCCAAGGCTGCACGGCCGGCACAGGTGTATACGCGTGGCTCGCGTCGCGAGGGTTCGGTTGACGGACAGCGCAAGCTAAAAAAGAAGGCCCGGGGCACTGGGAGTGTTTAGTTTAATTTAGATCCATGTAATCCCGTTACGAAGAAAGGGCTCCTGCAAATACGGGCAGTTGTAATACTTTGTCAATTAAGTTCCTTTTGTCACTCCATGACAAATTGACTTCCTCTTGTGTCTTGCGTCTCTTGTTCACGAATCGACTAGGCGGTTTTAATTAAGTAGAAATATTTTATTAGTAGAAAGACGTGGATTAACATAAGACAATATGTACCAGCTGAGATGCCCCAGGGCTAGAACTGTTGCCATTGCCGTCTCTGGCACCCTAGGGTTCGTGAAACGACGGTAGCCAATTTTCGACACTAGATAAATAGCTAGGTGCAAGTCAGTCTCTGAGAGAATTATGTCTGAAGGCTGCTCTGATCTGTGGTTTTCTGAGGTTCATCGTATCTTACCTGGTGAATGTCAATGACAAGAGAAACTTCACTGACAACGTGTTAGGACTATTCTTATTTACAGGAGCCCTTTGGCAAACAACTTAAACACGGATAAATGAAACACGTTTATAATGCGCGTATTTACTTCGGTAGAAATATTTCGGTTGTAATTAGCCGAGGGGACTGATCCAAAACAGGCTTGTATGTATTTTTGCGTAAAACGCCTTGTCCTTCGTCCGAATCTTTGTTTCAATTACATTTTATAAAAACGTAGACATAGATGAGAGCGTAGGCTTCCATGGCCGGAGTCAGTATTTATTTGGCTGTCCGGGTGACGCCACGTCCATGGCAAAGGTGCCGACGTTTCGGTCGCCATTCTGCGACCTTCTTCAGGGCGTAATGCCGCCTTTGGCCTGAGGGACGTCGCAGACCGAAATGTCGGCACCTTTGCCGTGGACGCGGCGTCACCCGGACAGCAAAGTAAATGTAGACATAGATGTCCAGAGTAGGTATAACATTGACAGTCCATTAAATGCCGCAACCTCGTAACTCAGGGCTTTTTGCCCTGCGGGAGGTCTCGTGTGGTGGTTGAAATGTCATCTGTGCTTAAGGCGCGGCGGTTTACCGGACACGCGAATAGAAATAATTATGTTTTGAGCTAAAGGCTGAAGCCTCTTTGCCTACTTGGAATTGTGCAAGTGGTGCCACGTTATAGCGCCAATTTTTTTGGTAAGCTAAGTTAATGTATTTACCCCAAGAAATACGTTTTGAATTAACGTTACTACAAGTAGTTATGTGCACAAAGTAAGTTTGTTTAAGCAGTATCTATAATTGGGTGTGAATTGCGCTGGCTAACTTCAGAAAGCCAGAACACGTGACTTGAGTATGTCTTTACAATGATCATCCTACGAAATAAATTGCAAACGCAATGCGTGTATAATATTGTTCTACAAATATAATTTTTCCGTTCAAATTTTTAATATAATTTTTACAGTGAAAAATTATATTAACATTTACTTATAAGAAATATATCGCCTGAATATCCCTTAGGTGGAAGTCCCATCTCATCCTTTAGCACATATTTCTCCGAATCGTCTTGTTCTTGCAACCCTCTATCTTTCCAAACTGAAGCTGACGGTGTAGTGATGTTTGATCCGATAGTTGGTGTCGTTTTGAAGAAAAGAATGAAGTATCGATACTGCTGATCTGTATTATTCAACTTTTAA